TTTAATGTCACACTAGACCAAGTTCTCCACTGCATTAAAAAAAATAAATCCATTGATGGAGACTTGCTCATCTAAACATACAATGTACGTCAGCGGAACAAACCTGAGTAACTGGCATCCATAATTTATAAAGCAAATTAAGTTCATGGCAAAAAATAACTATTACTGAGAACAGAGGGATCGGAGAGTCTGGCAGGGAAAGGCCACAGTCTGCATGAATCATTACTTTGTAGCGGAAACTTATATAATCCAGACTACTCTATTTTAAAATAATTGAAACCTCCTGAAAACTAAAAGCAAACTAACAAGTTTGGCAAAAATGTTGCGTTTGGATTCAAATTCACTGGTGATTGGCGAAGATAAAAAGAAGCCGGTTACCAACTGCCTCTCCTGTAGGTTACAGCTTCATCAGAAACCTCTGTCAAAGGTAAGTGAATGAACACCAGACATGCATCTACCTGGGCCCATGAACAACTGAGTTCCTAAAGAAAGGCTATTAGATTGCATTGCCACCTTGTGGAACAGAAGAAAATCTAAAAGTGAACCAAATCCTACGGCCCATCACTTCTCTGACTGCATCTACTTTTACAGTGGTAGAAAGATTGCCAAGGGCACAACCGATATGCAAATTCATTCATGATTTCTGAGCTTCCGAGGAAATAAGAAGCATAGTATTGAGTAACAGTGAGAAAGACAGGCTCCTCCCCACGGCACTGTTAAGAACAAGATGATATAACCATGATGCCAGAAATATAACACTTTGCTCTCTCTTTCACTGGGAAGAAGCCATCCCATTCCTTGCTGCCTCCCTCAGAAATATGCCTTTTCTCCTTAATCCTACTCCAAGAGCCTGCTCTAGGAGACCACCCAAGGAGTGTCATCTGAATGAGAAACAGTATAGGATCACATGGATTCCAACCCCTCCCCATCTTTTGTTTAGAAGACTTCATCTCGTTAGGGCACTTGTCTATGACCTTGGTCAGAACTAGAATCTAACCTTGAGTTCTACTGAAAACAGAAAAAAGCACTGAAAAACGAGACCATTAATCCATGTTGTTATTCAGCAGACCCATTTCAGATCAGTGCAAATATTTTTTATATACAAATTCAGTGTTTCTCTATATCTGTACATGGGAAACTGAACAGCTCACACCTTTATGCTAGCATTCATAAGACTTCAGTATTTGATGCCTATATTTTCTGGTGTTTATGAAAGCCCCAAATGCAAGGCAAATAAAAGGAATCCCTACAATTCCAATTTCAATTGTACATGACTAATGAGACAGTAAAAATAAAGTAGCAGCTTTATACAACAGCACCTATGAACATCTCTCTTCATATAACCCTCTCTGCATAGGCAAGAAGAGTGCATAAATCACAGTATTTAAAGGGAGACAAAGTTCATTAAGAAACCTGAAATTCCATTCACAGAAATAGGACCACTACGGAAATACTGAGATTGCGTGGTTCTTGGGTAAGGTTCTGATTGTACCAGGGAGCCTCCACTTTATTACTACACAGGTTGCTAATGTTCTTTGACAATATAGATATTGCTGATCCCATGTCAAACATATTAGATTATGCTCATAAAAGGAGCAATTATTCCTCAGCCGAGGTCAGAATCCACTGCAAGGACACTCGTCAGAAAAAGACGATACAACTTCAAATGAGGCACAAAACACAGGAGCAGATGAGTAGGAATAACAAAGATACTGTTTCCATGCAATATGTTAAGAATTAAAAACACATTGTGGGGAGAGAGCCAGGCAGAGAGAAGAGAGAGCGCTATTTTGGGGTAAATCTAAAGCAACACTATTGAAACCAATGGCTTAGTTTGCATTTAAACCAATGTCAATGAGATCAGAATTGGGCCCCACACTATGAAAGAGGCAAACAAACTGATTTGCAAAGACACCTGCAAGGTGTCAGCTCTTGAGAAAAGCTGACATTTATTGGAGAGTTTTTTTCTGACTTCAGAGAGCCAAGATGGGTGAGGTAAAAACTATTCTCCAGCTCTGTGAAAGGTACACCAAACATTAGAGAGCAATGCTAGACTGAACCGATTGTTTAGTAAGAGCTTGTCTCTCTTACCAACAGAAATTGGTCCAATAAAAGGTATCACCTCACCCACCTTGTCTCTCCAATGGCCTTGGACCACCATGGCTACAGCAATGAAACCATTTTCTGACTACATTTTTTGGCATGATTGGGGGAGGGGAGGGCTGAGGGAGAAAGGCAACAGTAACATGTTACAACTACAGTACAATCTCAGAGTTATGAACACCTGAGTTATGAACGTCCAGTCAATCACACACCTCCCTTGGATCCAGGGGTATACAATCAGGCAGCAGCAGAGACCAAAAAAACAGTACAGTACTGTGTGTTAAACCTAAACTACTTAAAAAAAAATGAAGGGAAAGTTTAAAAAAGGATGTCACAAGGTAAGGCAACTCTGTGACTTGCTTATTTAAATTAAGAAGGTTAGAAGCATCTTTTTCATCTGTACAGTAAAGTTTCAAAGTGGAATTAAGTCAATGTTCAGATGTAAACATCTAAAAGAACAATAACGGTTTGTTCAGAGTTATCAACATTTTCGATCGCTGAACAACATCCGCTCCTGAGGTGTTCCTGTATATACCACCCAGCATAGTTATTACAAGATAATCTAGCAATCAGACAGCTAAAGAGCTATTTGAATCCAGGATCTTGTTCATGCATGCACAAATTGCTATGCAGACACAGGGAAAGCTTCAATAGGGCAACGCTGCATAAGGCAGATCTCCCTATCTAAACAATTTTTCCCCAATGTGGATAGGACAGGAGAGTATTCTGCAGATCCCACTAATTTTTCAGTTTTATACCCTCTTACTCTCAAGACGCGTGTAACAGTTGCTACCTTAATTGTTGAGTAGGGATTAATTATCTTGCAACATTGTCTGGATAACTGTATCAAACTCATACATTGTGACTAAACTTGAGTATATTCATCTCATTGAAAAACATCCCATGAAAGTCATCATATCCCTAGGTAAGTTGTTCCAATAATAATTATCCTTTATGAAAAATTATGCCTGAATCTAATCTAAATTTTTCCAGCCAGTGGATTTTGCCTGGTAGATTGAAGAACCTTCTTTAAAAAACCAAAAAATTTTTCTCCATAGAGGCGCTCACTGACTGATCAAGTGACATTCTAGCCTTCTCACTGGTAAGCTACATATACAGAACTCTTTTAGTGTCTCACTAGAAGGTAGGTTTTTTAGAGCCCAAAATCATTCTCTCAGTCCTTTTTTGAAGCCTCCTCACCTTGTTAACACCCTTTTTAAAATTATGGACATCACCAATGAACATAGCAATCCAGTAATGATCTCAACAATGCCATACATAAAGCCATAGGACATCCATCCCCCACTTACATAGTACCTGCAAGAAATGTATCCCAGTCCCTACTCAACCTACTGCCTGAAGCACACACCCTCCTCCTGGGAGGGTAGGGGAGGGGGTTACTTTGAGCCCTGGACTGAACCAAGATGAGCCAGAAAAATGTCAATAAACCTTACACAAAAGAAATAAAATAGATGTATTTGGAGTATTGCTCTGTTTTAGCACTGCTAAATCAGTGCTTAAGGTTTGAAAACGCCTCCTAAATCAGGACCACCAAATTCAGTATACAGCTTCCTCTTGTCATTACTTAAAGCAGCTTAAGGGTTTTGTTGTGCCAGGAAAACAAGAGGCACCTGGAATGGGATTGCTTCTCCTAAAACCAAACTGAAAAGAGACAGAATCACCAGATCAAGTACAGTCTTCAAAATTGACATAACTGAGTGAATGGTGAAAGAGACTGAACCAAAATGAGCCAGAAAAAGAGGATGAACCTGAGATAGGATTGCTCCTCAATAAACCTTACAGAAAAGAGATAAAAGGGAAAAATGTGGAAGTAGTGCTCTGTTTTGGCACCGCTAAATCAAGTTTTGAAAACCAGAAAAAAATGTTATTGCAATCCACATTGACTATAGCCCATTTTTTGTTAAAAAGTAGACAATAAGAAGAGTTTATAGGGATGAAGAAAAAAAATATACTTGATGGAATTTCCACCTGAAAAACACTTACTAAAAACAATTACAGTAAAACCTGCGCTATCCGGTACTTAAATATCTGGAAAACTTTAGAAACTGGCAAATTTCCTAGGGGCTTGGCGCGGGCACGCGGCGCCTTAATCCAGCCAGCCGTGGGTTGGACGTGGGTGCACGGTGCTTTGATCTGGACGGTGAGAGGCTGCGCCCAGCCTTGCAGCACACCGCTATAATCCAGCTGGCTGGGACCTGGGCCGGGTAACTGGCGGTCCCTGAAGCAAGGGGGTCGCAGCTCTAAACAGGGATCCTCAGGTAACTGGAACACCCTAATCCCCGAGCATGCCGGATAACACAGGTTTTACTGTAAATGGAAAAATTAAGGATATCTGAACTAAAAAATAACACTATTTTTGAAAAAACACAATCATTTCAATAAAGCATGTTCATTTTCCTTCTATTTTCCAGCCCTCCCCTCCCTTGAGTGAGTTAAGGACCCAAGCACCTCGAGGTAAATCTGCTAATGATTTTGTATTTTCCAGAGCAATGACAACAATACTGAATAGCACCAGATCAGCATATAATCTCTGTGGAACCCCACTGGAAACAACAGTGAATGATGATTTGCCACTTCTTTACTTTTTGAAACCAGTTACCCAATTTTTAATGTATTTAAGGAGTGCTGCATTGATTTAATGTAGTGGTGCTTTGTAATTACAAAATTAGGTGATAATTACTCAAATTATACTTTTTCAACACCTTTGTTAGCCAACTTTGAAGTCTCATTAACTAACAGTCACAACTTTTTATAAATGTTGTAAGGAAATTTTCTCGACAGGGGAAGCATAGCACATACAACTCTCTAGGCACTAGTGATCAAATTGTTCATGTGCATTCAATATGAGTATAGAAGGAACACAAGTACTTTCCTACCACAGGAAGTTGACTTTTTGTCCACCATCTTCACACGCCGGGTTTGACTGCGCAGTTTGTCATCAGTATTTGCTACCAAATTGGTGAGGTCGTCGATGATCTCTGGGGAAAGGGAGCAGCAAAACACAATTAATGTCTGTGTGTCAAATTAAATGTACACCCCCCTCTTACCAAACACATGGTCCCGCTGTTAACCAGCAGATTAAGAGAGATGGTTGGGCAAACAGGCACCATTTGGATGTTTAAAATCAAATCCCACAGAGGAAAGGAGAAAGGAACAAATTCCGGCAAGACAGCAATGAGTGTCCGCATAGCCCCACAATATGCCAAACGTTTTAACAGCTGATTTAACACTTCCCCAGCTCTCATCCCCAGGTGACCCTTCTCTGCTTGAGCGATACTGATGGCATCATCATCTGGACCCACAGGAAGGAGGCCCCTGAAGAATGGCTCCACCAGGATGTCAACAATTTCCACCCCACCACCAACCTCAGCCTGGACCAATTCCAAGCGGCAGGTCCCTGCCCTTGTGCTGTTGGCCTCTGGGTTATCCCAGAGGGCCAACAGCTTCCAGGCTCCCCTCCCGGCTACTGGCCCCGATCCCAAGCTCCCTTCCCAGCCACCTATACCGGCCCCAGCCAGGCTCCCGTTCACAGGCCCCCTTGCGGCTGGACTCCCAGCCACCAGTGCTCTCTGGTCCAACATCACCCATGATTCTGTCAGACCACAGATATTTCTGGACCAGAGGCTGCAGGGCTACAGATGTTCAACTGTACATACTCGAACAATGAGGTCTGAATTAGCTGTTACCACTCAATGAGTTCTTGGTGTCATTGTGGAGAATTCTCTGGCCATACCTGCTCAATTACAACAGCAGTCAAAATGCAAAGAGAATGTTAGGAGCCAATAGGAAAAGGCCAGATGAGCAGACAGGAAATATCCTAATGCTACTATATCAATCTAAAGTAGGCCCTCACCTTGAATATTGCCTGGCATTTGGGTTAACCCATCTCTAAAAAGATACAGTAGAAATAGAAAAGGTACAGAAAAAGGCAACAAAAAATGACTGGGCATTTGGAACAACTTCCATATAAAGAAAGATTAAAAAGACTGGTCATGTGCAGTTTAGAAAAGAGCCCACCCACTAAAATCACAAATGGTGTGGAGAAAGTGAATAAGAAAGCATTATTTATCCCTTCACGTAACAAAAGACTCTGGGATCACCCAATGAAATTAAATGAGCAGCAGGTTTAAAACAAACATAAGTAAGTCTTTCTTCACACAACACACAACCAACCTGTGGAACTCATTACCAAGGGACAACGTGAAGGCCAGTAGAATAAGTGGTTCAAAAAAGAACAAGATAAATTAATGCAGGATAGGTTCATCAATGGCTACTAGCCAAGACTACCAGGGATACAACTTCATGCTCTGGATGTAGCTAAACCTCTGACTGGCAAAAGCTGGGACTGGACAACAGGGGATGGATCACTCAATAATTGACCGGTTCATTTAATTTCCTCGGAAGCATCTGGGTTCTGGTCACTCTCAGAAGACAGGATATTGGGCTACCTGGACCACTCAGCTGACCAAGCACGGCTGTTCCTATTGGTTCTTATGCAAGAGGCTGACAAGTGCAGTTTTTGTAAGTGTTTCTGCAAGCACTGGTCCCACTGCGGCAGGACAAAATGAAAGTTTCACAGAGTTTCATTACACTGCAAAGTACAACTTCTACTTAGAGCCAAGATGTTCTGTGGGGAAATAAACAAAACAAATGGACAAAAACCCAAACATGACACACTGATTAACCGGAATAGGATTCTCGTGAACATACTTTTTAACAGAGGGACAAGGGAATTCCCGGCCAAGATTTGCCCAGTCACATTGATGTATCCTTGCCCTAAAAACTAAACTAAGTAAAAAGCCCGGGTTGAGATTTTCAAAAGCAGGTGCCTAAACGTACACACACTCAGTTCTGAAGATCTAGGCATCCAGGACAAAGCTACTCTCGCTGACCTTAAAGAGGAGCATGTCGCCATTTCAAAACTCCTGAGTTCATCTTGACAGGAGAAATCGAATTCAGATCACTTTCTGAATGGTCGGCACCTAGAGATTGTGTTTAGAAATGGATACACATTACTCATTTCTGGATGGCACATTTCAGCTGATTTCCACCATGAAGTGAGCAACGAGTTTCATGTGACAAATGAATGAAATGAATTAGCAGAGGGACAGCAGCCAGAAATTGCATAAGGTTTCAGCACATCTTTCTCTGGTTACACTTCTGGCATTTTCCCTGCTATTGATCAAGGCTTTAATAAATTCAATTCAGTATCTTTCAGATAAGTTCTGGGCTCACTGGAGTGCCAACTGGCAGGAAGTGACATATGAAGTCATTTGTGCCCAAAAGGACCCTAGTATTGTATTTCTCAGTTACAGAGCTAATGAAACTTCACGACTTAATTGGGGGGGAGAAAGGGAGACAAAAGTCCGAAGAGCACATAATTGAATGATGTTACATTTGTGATACTTGTGAAATGTTAATGTCCTGCTAATCTTTCAATACCTATTTGTACATCTTGACTGACAGTTATTACAATTACAAAATGCAGCAGGAGACCTTTATTTCATGGACTGTATCATGGCGAGCTATTTTAAACCAGGGATTGCCCAAGTTCCTCTGTGCTCCACACACAAGGGGTTACACTCCCAAGATTTCTAATGAACTTGAGGAGACTGTGCGTAAAGAACGAAGCATTAGGCGCAGATGACATGGTTTATGGCAATATGTGTACTCGTGACTTCTAGAACACACTATTTTATACATTGAGACTGGACAGTAACTTTCCACTGATGCAGGAAAAAATAAAACTTGGGCAACACCTTCTTCTCCAGCTTCTGCTACAAGAAAATGAACTTACTTTATGCACCTTTCCACCAGATCTGTTCTTCCCCATTTCCCTCTTGTAGCAATTGTTGATGGAAACACAGATTAAATCTGCCTGACCAGCAGATTATATGGGGGAAAAAAATCAAGTATTTTGTTCCCATGATTTTTTTATTTCATATGTAGTTGAACTGAGTAGCTATGGGATCAAGGTGCAAATGTCCGTAAGTGTGAACAGTAGGAGGTGAGGATCTTACCGTCATTTGTGCTTTGAAAGCTTCCCCGTAGTAATTAAGGGGAAAATGCATGGCGTGAGGTACAAGCCATCTGTGAGTGACGAGGTATTGGAATGGGAAAGGCTCCTGTGTTACTATTACATTCTTATTCCTTTTCCTCTGTTAAACTAGTTAATGTTTATATTGACAGAGCACTAAGGCCAAGCATTAGCTAATTCTTCCATTCTTCACATTTCCCCACATTCTCTGTTTTGTTTTCCTAATCTAGACTGCCCATTGCTCCAATGTCAAAGTAGCATTCTTATACTAAGCAGAAGTAATATTGTATACTTACCTTGGACAGAACAGAACTACAGAAAAACTTCAGAGTTATGAACAAGTCAGGAATAGAGGCTGTATGTAACTCTGAACAAAACATTATTCTTCCAAAAGTGGACAACTGAACATTGACTTAAAACTAGGAATGTTACATTTTGATTAATCAGCTAATCGAGTAGTCGATGGAATCTCCATCGACTACTCGATTAGTTGATAAAAGGGGTGCTCACTATCCCGCTGCGCCTCTCCCTTTGAAACGTACAAGAGCCGCAGGTAGCTCTTGTACATTTCAGGAGAGGAGCAGCAGTCTGCTCGGTGTGAGCAGGACTGTTTCAACCTCAGCTTACACCATTTCCCTGCTACCCTTTGCCTCCCCTGCCTCCTGCGGAGATGGTGCTGGGGGGAACGGGGAACCAGCCACACATCACACCTCATATACATTCACCCAGGAATCTACCCCTGCAACAAACCCCATTGCCAACTCTGTTCACATACCTATACAACTCACACCATCACTGGACCTAACCTCATAAGCCACATCATCAGGGGATCATACAGCTGCACATCCTCTCATGTGCTTTAGGCCATCAAGTGCCAGCAGTGCCCCTCAGCCGTGGATATTGGTGAAACTGGACAGTTTCTACGCCGAAGGATAAATGGACACAAATCAGACATCAGAAATGGCAAAACACACAAACCAGTAGGGGAACATTGTAACCTACCTGGTCACTCAATCACTGATTTAAAAGTAGCCACTTTTCTAGAAAGGAATTTCACTAACCAGTTACAGAAAAAGTTTGCAGAACTGGAATTTATCTAGATTTGACACCATTACCAGGGGCCTAAACAAAAACATTAACAGGTTGTCTCATTACAAAGCCAAATTCTCCTGCCATTAACATCTGCATTTCCTCATCAAAAGCTATATATGGGTCACATCCGACTCACTTAATTAGCCTCATTAACACAGGCCCTACAATTGAGTGGGACTTCTGCTGTTTTTATATACATCTTGGTTTCTGTTATTTCCACTCCAATTCATCTGATGAAGTGGGTTTTGCCCACAAAAGCTAATGATTCTCTATATTTTGGTTAGTCTCTAAGATGTCACACGACCACTTGTCATTTTTACAGAATTGTAGTTGCTATTGTTGTCTCTCTGCTGCTGCCTGATTGCTTATTTCCAGTTCGAAATGAGTAGCGTGGTTGGCTGGTCAGTTTGTAACAAGGAGGTTCTACTGTATTCACATGTGCTGCGAGTGATTTTTACACCAGTGAAGATCTTAAACTGTTCATCTTAAACTGTTTTCCCAACCACCACTTATTCAGACACACGGTTTGAATCACAGGTTTAGCTTAGGATGTTAATTTCCTTTCTGACTTCCTCCTCCTGAAACCTAAAGGCTTCAATGAGAGTGTTTTGTGAAAGCTTTATCTGTTTTGTATGATTGGGCACACTGAAAACAAGCCCAGTGTTGCATGCATTGCAGAGGAGAGGTCTCTCATGTTTGCCTCTAAATTAAAAAAAAAAAAGTGTGTTGGAAGTTCTCTTCACAATTCAGTTTCCCATCGTTGTCAAGGACAAAATGATAAGCACGCTTGGGAAATAAGATACTTTCCTTTGCCAACACTGAGCAGATCATCTTGAAAAACATCCTGGT